TATATTTTATTTAATTTTATAATTTCAAACCTTTGAAATAGCGATTTACCATGCGTTTGACGTATTTAAGCTTTACAGGTAATGCGCCAAAATATTCACCAAGTTGCAACTAAGCACAGAGCATGACGATAACATGATTTTAAAATAAAGCGTTTTCGACGATGTGGTGAAGGAAAAAACATTTATTGGTTTTTTTCACATAATGACCATCCTGTAAAGACTTCGCACATCATTATAGTGATTTATTCCATTTCGTGTAATAGCTTGAGGATGTAAAAACCGAATCTCTTACAGTCGCTTCATTATTTCTTCTAGGATAAAATAACAGACTATGTCTTTACATGAAGTTTGCCATTGGTCACCCTTGATAAAACCGTCTAATATCTAATTTACTGCTTAAAATGTGGTTCCATGTTTATGACCCTGAGAAATACTTGAGTCTTTGGAGATCAAAATGTGTGCTTGCTTCTTTCCTAAGTGTCTACGAAATAACGCGCCGTTGCCTTCAACATAAATAATGCCTTTTCGTTGTAGTACTATAAACATCCGCTTTATTTTTCTGCATGTAATATTTTCTTGCAATAAATGCAATTTTTATTATTATGTTTGAATTTTGTGCTAAAATTCATTTTGAAAGCTGTTTTTTCTTCTATTCACATGCTTTTCTTTCTTAAGTTTTCATCGAATTCGTTTTCAAATATTCCAATATTAGTTCTTTCTCTCCGCGAGCTTCTAAGGGTTTAGATTTAGAGTTTCATAATGTTTTGATAAGCCGTAAGTTAATTACAATGATTCAAAGTGAGTAAATATTCTTTATATCTTAACCCTTTGAAGGCCAAAACTCCCGAGGCAGCTTTCTTGCACCTTTAGGGTATGCAGTGATAGGTGTAGTATCCTTAAATGCATTGTATCAGTTTTTCCAGACAACTTGTGATAATGAAAGCTTCTTTCTTAGGAAGTAGAAAGGATAAGATTTGAAATCTTCACATCTCTTTGCGTGTTATGGACGGGTAAGGGAGGAAACGGACAGGACGGATAATGGATGAATATTCGGTATTTTAAAGCATACAGATTAGCGATGGATTCGGTTTCTTAAGAGTTAACTGATTACTTGCAGTTCAGCTTACGATCTCGAGTGTTTTGTTAATATATCTTAAAGCTTGTCGTGTTTATTCTTAAAACATAAACATTTCTTGAAGATGTGTTTCTTTCATTGTTTTTCTTCAACATCGTCTATATTTTTTCTTTGTTGTTTAATCTCTTATTATTTCGATTTAATTGTCAAGTCTATGCTAATTCATCTACTTTTGACTCTCAGCAGTAATTTCGTTTGGTGTATCATTGGCGATTCCGTGTATGAAGCTGTTATTTAGTTTCAAGATGGAGCACATATTTTGAACCACTTTTGATTTCGTTTTTAAGAGAGCAGTATGTAAACTGCATTCGGTTCGTGTCAGCTTCGAAAATAGCCATGATTTATTGGTTATCTAGTGAAAATTTATGAAAGAGTTTCTCTTCTGTTTTATTTCTGATTGCTTACGCTGAGGAATGCGTTTAGATTAAAAAACAAACCTTCCAACTCATAATGTCAAAGACACACATAGCGAGTTCGGGTATTATTTGGACGTTGTAGCAATCAATAAACAAATACATTATGTTCTTATCTTTTTGGAGGAAATTTGAAAGTGCATCTAATATGATTGAATAATGTTGCATTTTATTTTACTGCAACAAGGAAAAATAGAACTCTGAACTCTACAAAATGAGCTCTGAAGATATTTGACAGCTTCTACCTACACATCAATTCATTACGTAAGACTTTGGCGGGAGGAAGTTTCTGAAAGACTAAGTCGATTATAAAAAGCACGCCTAGGAAATTTAGATAACATATGAAGTCTCTAGAGAGTAACAGACAAAAATATTATCATAATCAAAACTCTTACCTTTCTGAAGGTAAATCAAAGACACTGGATACAAACATGAATAAATAATGATGCACGTTATTTTACAGTAATATAGAAGAAGGCAGTTCAAAGATAAGGCTCCATATGCGACTAAATAATGATGAATTTTATTTTATAGCAACAGGAGGAAAGAAAATGCGAAACAAACTTAAACGAATTTTGCACAATTTCTAACCATTCTTTAAACACGGAACTTTGCTTCTTAAATTTTGCTGAAAGATGAAGACTTACGTTTGGCTGAAAGATGAGGAATTTTTTATCAAGGGTCACAAAGGGTGAACGAAACAATTTCATATTCTTCCATTTTATGTACTGTGTCATCCAGAACAACGAAAGTTTAGCTCGTCTCAATAAAAGGTCCAATGGTATCCGCCGATAACATCGTGGACGAAAACGTCGCGGAGAAAACAACGCAAGGTGAAAACGTCGTGCTACAAAACATCGTGGGAGAAAACATCGCAAAGAGAAAACATCGCAGTTCTAAAACATCGTGGTACAAAACATCGTCGTAGAAAATAAAGCGGTTCAAAAACATCGCAGTTTAAAAACATCGTCGTCGAAAATATCGTGGTAAAAAATAAAATATCTACAAATCATCGCATGACGATAACATCGCAGACATCTTTTTCAGGTTTTAATAATTGTAATGGATATTCCCATAATGATTTGTGAGCGCAAGGTGTAAAGAAGGATAAATTTTGCTTTCACATATTTATTAACTAATAAATTTTTGCTGAAAACGTAAGAAGGAGACTTAAGCATAGAAAATTAAATGTAACTTATAGATTATACTTTTCATGAAATATTACCAGTAAGAACTTTATAAAAATGATTTATTAATGGCCTTTGTTAGTTAACTATGTCAGTTTAAAACTCTATTAAGTGCTATAAGTTGCATTAATTTTTTATGCTTAAGTTTCCTTTTTATATTCTCAGCAAAAATTTGTTAATTAATAAAAAATCTGAAAGTAAAAATTATCCTTCTTTCCATCTTGCGCTCACATATCATTATGGGAATATCCATTTACACTTATTAAAGCATGCCTGAAAAAAGCATGTCTGCGATGTTATCGTCACGCGATGATTTGTAGATATTTTATTTTTTACCACGATATTTTCGACGACGATGTTTTTAAACTGCGATGTTTTTGAACCGCTTTATTTTCGACGACGATGTTTTGTACCATGATGTTTTAGAACTGCGATGTTTTCTCTTTGCGATGTTTTCTCCCACGATGTTTTGTAGCACGACGTTTTCACCTTGCGTTGTTTTCTCCGCGACATTTTCGTCTGCGATGTTTTTGCCGCGATGTTTTCGGCTGTAACCGGTCCAATAGCAGTCTCCGCAGAGGTTCCGTCAACATGTTTGCGCACACAACTTTATTGTTGAAGTTTCGTAATTTGACGACTTCTTGGATTTGTTAATCTTCTGCGTAGTGATATTTTACTTCGGCGTATATAGTATTGCTTTCTTTCTCTTACTGGAAAGATTTTTACAGGAAATATTGCCTTAAAATATAATGTCAACTTGCTGTTGAGTGAAATTAAGATCATGAATTAATTAATTATCTTAACCTTTGTAGATTTTTGGGCGTTATGCTCAAAAGTCCAGTTCCGTATTTAGTAGCAAATAATTAACGCAAAGTCCAGTTCCGTATTTAATAGCAGATAATAAAGAATCACATAATTGGACATTGCTTGAAAACTTTACTCACTGAGCACATTTGTTTATATTATCGTCTAAACTTCCGAGTTCTGCACATTTCCCCTTCTCATATCTTTGAAATTATCAATTTATAATTTTGTAATTATGAATTATATAATGAATAAAAAATTTATAAATATTACGAATCATTTTATCTATTAATATATCAAAGCGCTAAAAGGACTAACAGATCATGGCACCTATTATGTAGTGTCTAAGTGCAGAATTTATCACCATTTTTCTGTTGCATGATGCAAATTTAAGAAAACATGCCCATACTTTTGTTCAAAAATTGAAAAGACTAAAAACCCTTCGATTCTTTCTTCGTGTGAATAAAATTAATTACTGGCATCTATCTTTACTTTGTCACCTGCATGGTAGTTGTTTCGCTTTACGTACGCTTTGTTTATTTAACATTTGTAATATTTGAATAAAGACCTTCAACATCAGCGTTTTTCATTTTAATTTCTTTTAAATTTATCACTCGAATTCCTTATACTATAAATATCATCATAACATACTTAAACTACAGTTTCTGTGATGCTGAACCATTTCAACAGTGATACTTTAACACGTGCATGCTTCCCTTTTTCCAAGTTTCCCTCGCATTCGAATTTTTACCGTGAGCAGAAACTGTGAACTAACGATACATCTACATGATTGTAAATTCAGACCTGATCAAGCTGTGATTTTGATTTGGCTGCACGGATTCTATGTTGTTCGAATTAATGCTCACCTTTCATTTTCATTCATTTCATTTTTCCATTTGTTTAGCCGTTGGGCTAACTTAATTTTACTTAAGTAAGTCAAATTCAGTACCTTTGATTTAAACCATAAATGCTGGCTATTTTGTAAGCAAGAGTGGTGGCTTGTCTTAATATGTTTGAAAGTGCCAAATCCAGCGAGGATTATCTTGGCTCTGGAGAAGAGCATTAGAGAACATTCTGAGGCAAATTAGCTCATTTACTTTTCATTTGAGGTAAGATACGAAAAGATCATCGCAGCCAGCCTAATCGAAGGGATTCGAGTCTTGCTTAAACAGCCGTGGTCTTCTTACTGTGAAGTAAGGACTAAATATACAATTCATTTTTTATTCTCTTACAGCATTTAGCATTGCGAATTGCGAACTTCATGTCAGTAAAAGTTGTTCATATCAGTTTGCATACATCTTATATGTGTATTCATAACATGTTCAGTTTGGTAACTTTACAGGTATCTGTACAAATGGAAAAGCAAATATAAGAATAATCAACTCCCACATCATTCTAATTATAAATAAATGTTCAGAATGGATTCTAAATAAATGTGCTATGTACATAAAATACGAAATGTGCTTTTAAAAGACTTTTATTTAATGTCGTGAAATCTTACATAAACAAATTTAAAATTTATATTCCAAATTTTATTTTACATACATTTTGCTACATAATATGTGTTCGTACAACTATTATTTTCCAGTTCTCATCTTAGTTTATTGTTGACCAATGCAAGTATTTTATTTTCAAAAATTAAAATGATTATTTGTGAAAAAAGTTAAATAAATATTTCCTTAGTATTTTCTTCCAGGCGAAAATTTAAATGGTTTTTTAAGTAAGCAAGCAGTTTTAATTTTCATTTTAATTTATGTGTCATGGGTAGACACAAATTTAAAAACAGTGTTTGATAATATCGTTAACTCCTTTTCAGATCATTCATATTAAATGTACTGTAACGTCATAACATCATATGTGCAGTTTCGATTACAGAGAATTTGAAGTAAAGCTTATCGTTATTAATCAACACAGTTCTGCAACCACAAATATTTGATAACTGCTTTATAACTGTAACCAATGAGCAATAATTAAAGTCACAGAGAATATATCCAATTTCAGTTTTTAATTCAGCACCACCAGGAATTCACCAACAACAGTTTTTTGAATGCTTTCCTGAATTCCATGTTGAAGATGGTATATATTACTGGATTAACGCAACTGTTGATATAACCTAACCACGTTGTTAGGAGGAAAATTGTCATTCCTGGTCTCCATTTATCGTTTTCTAGCTTAATGCAAATTGCATCTAGTATATTGCATGTGAAAAATGGAACCCAGCACATCAGAAACATACCTGTCAAAGAAAGAAAAATATGTTAGCAATAAAAGCAATAATTAGAAAAATTAGCAATGATTATGTTAGCAATAATTAGAAAAATATGTTATCAACAATATTTTGAGAACAAAATGTGTTTGAATATTTATGATTTCCTACGTTAATCATATGAGTCCATTTTGAGACATTAATCCTTTAATTATATAGAATTATAAAAACGTTTAAACCACTAATTGACCCCCAACTGAAGATTAACTAAGATACTGCATTTATCTTATATTATAGTTTATTTAATATAATACGCAGCTTTCGTAAAACATCAACTATTTGGGGAAGTAACTAAAGGTGAATTTAAAAATACAACGATTTCTGTTTCTAAGAGAAAATTTTGTCCTATAGCTTAGGAAACTGAAGCTTTCCCTAGCTTGTTTGCTTAAAATATCTAAATGACCGTCCTCGTCCATTACCCGTCCCGTCCATTTTCTCCGCTTGCCGTTCATTAACCCACAAAGTGTTATGAAGATTTCAGACAACATCCTTTCTACTCCCTATCAAAGAAGCTTCTATTAGTCTTTCAGGACAAGCTGCTTGCAATAAACTAATGCAATACATTTGGTGAAACTTCATCTGGTACTGCATACCTTAGGAGAAGGGAAGAAAATAAGATCGTAATCTCCGCCGTTTCGAACGGTTTTGGTGGTTTGAATGAAAAGGTGTCTTGGGCGTATTGGCTTTCAAAGATTTAAAATTAAATGATGAGCAAAGTATTTATTTTTTATGTAATCAAATAATGTTATGCAATACCCTGGGGTTTCAAGCATACGTATATACGAGGTCTGTTGCACTTGCACAATAACTTTTGACTCCGCGTATCACCACACGTTTTGTGCCATTTCCTGTACTCATGCCATTTTTGTTTCAGCGTCGTTAGAGAAATCCCTGGTTAACATAAAAATTTGGAAAAATCTCACAAATGAGTTCTTGCTTTTGCAATTATGTATTTATTTTTAACTAATAGTTCATTTTAAGTTAGCCCTTTCCGATTATTTTCTTTTCACACACGCTTTTCATGCCAGAATGTAAATGAAGCAGCGACCGTTTATTCAGATCTTGGCAGAAAGAAGAGTTATTTAAGCAAGAATTTCGGAAAATAGCTTCAGAGCGTATCTTGCCTATTCCAGGCCATGTTGTGCAGTGATTATTAGCGACTTAATTTAGTGGCGTGGAGTGCTTCTAGCCATTCAGCTTTGTCTTGCCGGTTTTGTTTTGCCAATTTCTTGTCTGCGCGTTAAATTACTCTTAGCTAATCTACTCCGCTTTGAATTTCTTCAACATATTTCTGTTACGTCAGAAATGCTTGGCTTGTCTAAACTCAAGTTGTGTTCGAATAAAAGGGTCTTATACACACTTCTTCTGACTTTTATTTTTTTTTCAAGAGGCTAAAAGTTAATTCTACAATAATGTTTTATAAAGTCTATAGTGTATGCTCCCTAAGATACATAGGCTTTATAAACATATAAAGATAATATTTAAATTTCCTTTGCTAAATACTGTAATATGTAATAATAGGACAAAAAAATAGTTCAAAGAGAAAAAAAAATGAATTAGCTTGTAGAGTGTCATTCAATTTTCTAACCAGTTATTTTAAGTACGCTTCCTATCAAACCTTATTCTATTTCCCTGCCAGAATGCAAATTGCCAGCACGTGCTGTATTCAAATTAGGTAAGAAGAAGAAAGTTCTTCAAGGAAGGTTTTGGAGGAGGGAAATCAGAACGTGTTCTGCCTGCTTGAAGACCACGTTGCTGACTTTGATTCTCTAGGGATTGGAATTCGGAGGCGTTGAGCTGTGCAGATCATTAAGCTTGTTTATGCTGATTTCCAGTCAGAGCCACCCAGCATAATATTTAAAACATTAACCCTTTAGCCTATTTATCAGTTTTCAATCCAAATCACGCGAGGATTATCTTGGCTCTGGAGAAGAGCATTAGAGAATATTCTGAGGCAAATTAGCTCATTTACTTTTCATTTGAGGTAAGATACGAAAAGATCATCGCAGCCAGCCTAATCAAAGGCATTCGAGTCATGCTTAAACAGCCGTGGTCTTTTACTGTGAAGCAAGGACTAAATATACAATTCATTTTTATTCTCTTACAGCATTTAGCATTGCGAATTACGAACTTCATGTAAGTAAAAGTTATTCATATCAGTTTGCATACATCTTATATGTGTGTTCCTAACATGTTCAGTTTGGTAACTTTACAGATATTATTACTACCACTTTTGGATGAAAGTGGTAGTAATAACAAAGAAGGTGTATAGAACTCTTTCTTAAATCACATAAATTTTAACAGTCAGCCGGCACTAAATCGTACTTGCAAAAGCCAGCACTTTTGGCTTAAATGCAAAGGTGATGATTATTTACTACTTTTGCATTTAAGCCAAAAGTGCTGGCTTTTGCAAGTACGATATAGTGCCGGCTGACTTAAAATTTATGTGATTTAAGAAAGAGTTCTATACACCTTCTTTGTTGTATTTTAAAGGAGTTGGTGATAAATCACAAAACAGTTTTCGACTCGCTTACGTTTTATGATGGCTAAGTGTACACGACATTACAATGATTTTATTCACTTCCAAGATTCTTTAAACTTGCCGATTGCCTTTTAACTATACTTTGTTTTGATGAACAAGCTTTTAAATTATACCGAATATAATTGTTTTCATAATTGAATATAATTATGAAAAATGTTATGTTTATATTATGAATATAATTATGAAAAATGTTATGTTTAACAAAATTTTTCTTTGGTAGTTTATTAGGCAACATGAAATTTTAAAATATGGTTACCTACCTAAAACTATGGCAAGTGTTTTTGTAGCCTTCCTTTCTCGTTTAGCTGATGCCTTTTCCCTCTTTTTTCTGCTGCTTTTATGTCTTCTTCCGAGATTAAATCTTGATTTTTTCTTCCTACTACTGCCGGAGATCTGGCTTCCAAGTGTATCACCTTTCCTCCTACCAAGACCATTTCTTTTCGCATAAGGTGCTTTTGTCTCATCTGCTTCAAGAACTATTGCTGATGCTTGCTCAGGTTCTATTACGAACTGAGTTTCTTGTTCCACATGAGAGGTTCCATACCCGGAATCTGTATTGCCGTTAATGGGAATTTCAATTCGTATAGTTTGTGTCATGAAAGCACTGAGTAACATTGCAGAAGCTGCAGTTGCTTTCATCGGATCACGTTGACTACTTTCCTCTCCTCCTGTTTCATCATCATAATCGTCTTCCTGGCTGCCGCTTCCCGTATTTGTGGTGATGCCATCCCTTTCCACAACAATTTGGATACCTCTTGAGCTTCCACCGGTTTTTGAGCGATCGCTATCATCTTTCCTGGCTCTGGCAGAAGGATCTGTCGATAAGCTGGTACTGGCTGTACTTCGAACGCATCCGGAATCTGAATTGCAGGAGCGGAGTTTGTTCTTCTTGGCTCGTTCATGGATAGCCTACGAAATACATATAGACAAAGAAATTCTGCTTTATTTTCTTTTAAATTACAAAAAATGCGATACATATTTACAAAAAGTGGCTTAAATATTTATGCCTTAAATTAGAAAGATTCTTGCATGTTTAATTAAAACATTTTTAGTGTCTTAGAATTTTTCGAAGTATAACAACTGAAGAATTCCCCAATGCTTTCGCCAGGTTTCAAACTTGGAGCCTCCTAAATACACGTCGAGTCTTCTTACAGTTACACAACGAAGGCGTATGGAAAGAAAGGAGGAAAATATCTTATATACTCTTCCTTTGAAAGGGCTACTAGACTTTAGGGAACTCAACTGCCAAATACTGGTGATGAAAAATTATCGCTTACTTCCTTTCAGTTCGGGCGCCTCTTGTAGGATCTTTCTGAATTTTTTCGATGTCATGTTATGTTATGTTATGTTATGTTATGTAGAAAAGAGGGGACTACCTAAAATTTACCCTAAATAAGCAATTATTAGCCCCACACACTAACTAGAAAACTAACATTCTAGCATCATTCCTCTAGTCGTGATGGAAATTGTGACTGCAGTGAGCACTGTAAGTACTGCCACCGGCGGCGGCATCAACGGTACTCCTACCTTTCAGCGTTAAATTAGCTCAAGTAAAAGGGATTAAATTACATGATATACATTGCGAAATACATAGTTGTGCAGGTGCATATTTTAGGATGTTATCTATTGTAGTGGGTACAAGCAACACGTTTCAGGACATTATATATTGCATTAGAAACAGGCGTGATGTTCCCACGTTACAAATCATTTTTGTAACATGATCTGTTTACTATCAGAATCAATTAGGAACTATAAAATTGTTTACAAAGCGTACATTTATTTAAGTGCTGTTGTGCTGAAACTTTAACAGCTCAACTTTGACGATTCATTATGTGCTGTAACGTATGTTTGTGTTAACTGATTTTCAGAAATTACATCATTTTCTAGCAGTACATTGTTATTTGCATGTAAAATTTGATCATGGCATTATAAATTGAGGTGCTAGAAGCAACTTATTTCTAGTATATAGATCATGCCTACAATCATGACTTGTTTACATATTTTTTTTTCAAACAGCTGTCAAAAATAGAAAAGAATATAAAATAATAAAAAAAGACATAAATAAATAAGTCTGAAAACAAGAGAAAAAAATAGCTTCATCTGCATACGTATGCTTACTACGTAATTTAGATATATCTGCATACATATGCTGATACATTGTCAACTTATTTTTGTCAGTTCATTGTATGCAATTACGTGTGTTTTTACAATAACTAGTTTACATGAATTACATACTATGATGCATTACATTGTTGATACTTTACCAACTCAATACTGGTTATTTATTATATGTGTTCACTTATCAGGTAATGTGACCTTATGTTACATAGAAATGTAGGCGTCATCTATTATTTACCCGAAGAAAACAGATAGGAGCGCCTTACCATAGTTGTGAGTGACCTATTTTGTGCTTCATATGGTTTGCGATGCTTATTTCTTTTCTATAAAGGTACGCCCGCGTACATTATATCTGCATTTCATTGCTTTATTTTGCTATTGCTGGAGCATTTCTTTGAAGGTTAAATTACACTACATAGCTGTTGACTTCTAGCAGCCAAAAGGTCAATAACTTTCGTAATTTTATTCCTCAAGTGCTTGATCTTAACTGCATATCTTAGAAATGGGAATAAATCATCTTCTGAATTTGGCTTCTTTAGATGAAGGTAATTAGATGAAGGTCACTGTAAACGGGCAGGAAAACAGATAATGTTCTGGGTGACCCTTTTGGCCACATGCACAAGAGTCTGATGAAGAGAGATTTCTTGCATAGAGGTTAGTAAAAAAAGGACCGTGCCCACGTGCCACTGGAGAGAGGGATTGGAGAAGTGTCAACTTTGGGGAAGAGGTTGTAAACTCTTCTGCCTGTATTTGCAGCGTCCAGCGGCCACCTATTATTTAACCTGAGTAAGTATAGGTAAAGGCCCCTCCAGATAAACATAGCTTTCTTTGAGCCCACGATGCGTAGGAGCTTCTGTTGTTTGGTTGTCCTCAGTTGTCCTGTTTTCTATTTGGACTTGGAAAGTCCATTTGCAGGACTCGGGCGGTCTTCTGTTGTCCGCTTTATGTTCAGACTTGGTATTGCGGCATTTAATAAAATACACATTAAACAATGCATACACGTAATGGCTATAAATGAAATACATTACACTGTTGCTTAAATAATATGTTAGCCTGCCTGGGTTGGTGGGGCATTTAACTGCGATTGCATGTTCATCACGTCTGGTCATTTGTTGCTTAGAGATAGTAAGCTTAGTAACTTGCACTGCTTGTGAGTGCTCTGTGTTCTGCTTCATGTTATTAGCGGTGCTTATATATTTCCTGTTGAGTTGCACGTACAAATAAATAGTAATTAATTTGTGTTTTACAAGAGCAAAGTTTAAAAAGTGTTGATTCAGTTTTAGCTAATTGCGCGACTGACTCAATTGGAGAAAATCCAAGGCCGCATAACTTTATTCTCAGAATTGAGAGACGGAACACTACACATTTCAGAGGCACTCTTTCAAAAATTTTCTTATATACACGTATCTCATTTTCATCCTAGTGTAAGCTAACAAAATGTAGAAACGATGGTAAAGCTTATAAGGTATTTCTCCCACTTTCCAAGCGTACCTTCGTGGTGTAGTGGTTCTGCACGCTGGGCCGGTATTCCAGTGGTCCGTGGTTCGATTCTCGGCGAAGGCGGTTGCATATTTTTCATCTTTTCTTCCTCTAAAAAATCCTAATGTCCTCTAAAGTGGCGCCCGGTCTAAAAGGGTTGTGGATGATTTGCGCCCGGACTAAAAGGGTTGTCGCACCCAGGATTTCGCGATCAGGTTCCCTAAAACCCTAGTCGCCCTTTAAAAAAGAGGCGTATAAAAGGTATTTCTCCCAATTTCCTAGCGTACCTTCGTGGTTTAGTGGTTTTGCATTCTGGGCAGGTATTCTAGAGGTCTGTGGTTCGATTCCCGGCGAAGGCGTTTGCATATTTTTCATCTCTCTGGCTTGCAAAAAATCCTAATGACTCTACAAGCTTAATTAAAAAAATAATGGGATAATTAAACTTAATACCTTATACAAATATACTTCACACTATTCTTAATAAATACGAATTATATAGCAAAACTGAATTTATGTGATAACGTTTACATGTAATAGGCGGGCAATCAATATTTCTATTCGAACCATGATGCTTAGCAACTTGCACATGTACATGATTGATTTATTTCTAAACAACTTAAATGTATGCTACAAATGAGAGCATGCTACGTGCTGTATGGATAGTGATAGAATGGACTGTATTAAACTAAATACTTAATGACTTTGGTGTAAATTTCATAGAAATATTGTATTGGATTCTCCTCTGCCAGCTCATTATTTTCACCTGTTTTGTTCATCACATCATTAATTAACTAATTATTTGTAAAGCTTAAGTGGCTTCATTATAAATGAGTTTCAGGAACAGTTTGAAATTTAGATAAAATTATATAGAAATGAGTAATACATTCTAAATGCTCTTAATTGCTTTTCATTAACTTAGTTTCCGCAGAAATCATCTTCCAGCAACTCCAGTATTTAGCAGCAGCTTTAAATTAATTAGAACAAATTTTCCATTTAATTCAAAGCGAAAGACCAATTACAGGTTCCTAGGCCATTAAATGATCATAATAATGAATGTACCTTTTATATTTCTAAACTGATAAAGGCATGGGGTATTCTTGGCCATTTAGTTTCAAAGTACCAGTCAGATAGAAATAATTAAAAAATTATTTAGCTAAATCTTATTGCATAGTTAATAAAGGCCTTGGCGTTATTCTCCGAATAACAAAGCACAGAGAAATGTCATTACCAGGAGATACTCATTTGTCGGATTATTGTGTAATTTGTATTTAATCAGAATGCATACTATTGATATTAAATTTGAAACAAAATAGAAACTAATGGAAGTAAACACTTCGGCTTGAGATGCGTTATCGTCTCAATCATTATCTTTAATGTGTAACATATTATTTTTGTTTATTCCATCTAAAAAACTACCATGTATGCACTTGTTTAGAGAGCACGACCTTAAAATCTCCAGTAACAATACACAAGCCTTCTGCAAGTTTAAGATAAAACAATGCCATTTGGTGACAAAAATCGCCCAGATTTTCAAAAAGCTTCCAAAACTTCTAGCTGACTTATGCCTAGTTAAATAAATCCAAAAGGCGTTAGCCCAGAAGGGCTATTAATTTCGTTTTGCAATTTTGCGTTGGAAACTTTAAATGTCGCCTCTCTTTTCAATCTGTTGCCACCAAATATTACAAATATTACTGTACACCAAATATTACTGTATTATATTTAAAGAAATTAAATAATGAAGAATCTGCATAAACGTGTGTATGTTTCTCGTGTTGTGATAACACGACGGTACCTAGAGCCATGAAATTTTGAATGACGTAAATTTCGATCCAAATATGGACATTTGGAATTTGTTTTTTTTTATCCATTTCACATTTTGCAAAGCATTTATGAGTTTTTGGATTAAGAAACTCAACGACTTCAAAGGGACCGATGGCAAAACTGTACGAAAAAAAAAAAAATTTTGTCTCCAGCGCGCGAGACTGTGTATCTGAAATTCTAAAGATCTGTTCATTTTAACATTATTTTGCGATATTGGTATTAAACTGAATTTTATGGTTTATGTGCGAAGAACATGATATTTAATAAATAAAGGTAACCCACAACACGTTATATACAATATAATATCTGAAATCTTTGAGATTTTTTTTAATTATTATTTTGAAATGTTTTCAATGCAGTTCACAAAGACCAGTTACCTTATACCATGAGACATGCGACATGCGACGGAGGACGTAGGCACCATCCCTCTACCAATACGGTTAATTGGTATAGCGCCACGTCCACCTTTATCTATTGCCTAGATACATGATACACAAGAACATACGGTGGCTACAGATAGACTGTGCAGAAGATACATATATATTCAGATGCCAAAATACATCTTACGTAGGAACATGGGGTGCATGAAATGTATAAGGGGACATTCATAAGAACATATCTAAGGTAATACACATTGGGTGACGTACACATACTTATGAATATAAGATATATAGGCGCAGAATCAGTTACATGTTACAGGATGTTGCGAGATATATGATACAAGATGCTGTGGATACAGATATATGCAGATGCCAAGATACATAATATGAGGTGCAGAGTGATATAAGTGGCAGGATACATGGTAGAAGGTGCGAAATAAGATGCATGATCTAGACGAGATGAAGTTTAATTGGAATATTGGGGATTGCATGGATGTTTGTAAATGTGTTGTGTATATACGGAGGGCCGAATATTTTGAGGGATGCCAAGGTTTGGTGGTAAGGGAAGAAGTGTGGCAGTCCCTCAGACTTAATTCGGAGTGCTTTTCTTCTGAATTGTGGCAGAAATGAGCAAAAGCATACTGTCACCTGTATGATGGTTAGGGCTCTTGAAAACGACACGACAAAATTTGCGGACTTCGTGGACGTCTGATTGAATCAGAAAAGTGAGATTACGGGATATTACGGAGGCGTGTTCAAGTAACTGTTCGAGCAACCTTTTGACCATTGGTGAAATAACACCCAGGCCAGTTAAAGGGGATATGTCTAAGTTTGGTTCAAAAATGTTTGTTTTTACACAATTGTGGAGCCTTCAGTTTGTACAAAACAACAATGAGGAATGCGCTCCCTGAAGAACTTTAATTCGCTGGTTATAGCAATAAGCTCTTTCAGATTACTAGTTGTTTCCAAAATCAAAAACTAATTTAAAGTACTACGTTTTTCTCAGCACTGAACGTTAAAAATCATGAAGCATTTGGTAATTAATATAAATATTTTTTAGTTTTTCTATATAGTAAAGCAAAGGTTTTGGAATTTATTTGGGATTTTGTGTTTTAGAAAGGTGTAGCACGTTGCTAAGAAAATTCAAACCGGAATTTTATCAATATTTATTACTTTGGCGTATGTGTGATAGACTTTTACATTTCTAAAGAATGAGTCACAACAATAATAGAATTATTTCAGATCTTAATAAGATAAAAAATTAAATTACCTTAAATATCTTGTAGTACAGATAAATCATCACCAAGCAAGGAATGTAGAAAGAACTCAGAGACGAATAGATGATAAAGTCAGAATTATAGAATACGCATAATTCCGGTATCCTTTCGGGTGAAGTATTGAGTCCCAAGACAATCGGGGAGCCAATAGCTGCAGATACAATCCACACTATCGCAATGGTCAAGCCCACTCTTCTGCTGTTCTTGTGCTTTGAATATTTAATAGGCTGCGTGACAGCTATGTACCTACAAAAAAAATATATGTCTTTAATTTATGCATGCAAATCAAATACATTTATTTATTCATTTAAGAAATTAGTCATAAAAATAAATGACATCATTTTTAAATATTTATTCATTTAAAAAATTAGTCATAAAAATAAATGACATCATTTTCAAAAGCAAAGATGCTTTTCTAAATGATGTCATTTATTTTTAGTAGTTTATGAAAGTTTTATTTATTTTTAGTAGTTTATGAAAGTTTTATTTATTTTTAGTAGTTTATGAAAGTTTTATTTATTTTTAGTAGTTTATGAAAGTTTTATTTATTTTTAGTAGTTTATGAAAGTTTTATTTATTTTTAGTAGTTTATGAAAGTTTTATTTACTTTTAGTAGTTTATGAAAGTTTATGAATTTATTTTTAGTAGTCATTTATTTTGAGTATTTTATGAAATAAGTTGATAATACCGTATTTGCCGGCTTATAAGACACATTCCTTTTTTATAAACATTTTTGAAGGACATAATTTTGTTACCGATCATTGTAAAGAATTTACAGTATTTAAATACAAAGCAATACAAATACAAAACAATACTGCAAATACGCAATCATTTTGGGAAAGAACACCTTTGTGAGAACGAAAACTGATCCCATATATAGTAGGACAGATTTCTTCCCTGAACGCTACGTAACTGTAATATTCCCACCCTCTGCAAGGAAACAAGGAAAAATTGCATAATTTCGAATAGAGGAAAATTCCAGAAATCGATGTAATAAAAAACTGAGTATTGACATATAAGACACACCCCGGTTTTCAGAACTATTTTCAAAGAAAATTGTGCGCCTTATACTACGTCGGCAAATACGGTAATTAAAATAATTATCCCCTTTAAGTACAATCTTAAAAATAACATACTAATCTTATATTTTACTATGCTTTTAGACGCATGCAAATCCCGCGTTTAATAGAAATTCGGTTTTTTTAGATTTTTGTTTGGCGCAAAGATTATGACATTTTAAAAACTGGAATCAATAATTTCGAGATTCCAAAAACAATTTTGACATTCATGAGTCTCAGATAAAGAAATATGAGTTTTGAGATTACGTGTTCAATCTTTTTACAGGAATTTCGATTTTCCCGGTTTTGCTGTAGACCGTTTTTCCCTTAACGAAATAAAGTTAGAGGTTTTCGTTTTCACAGAAAAAGATGGAACTGAAAGTACGTTCAACGTTTAATTACGCAATGAGTCCGTGCACATATGTTTTAACACATTTGACTGACTGCCTGCAAGGAATTGTACGAACAAAAAACCGTTGCACTTACTAAAGCATTTCAGCAGTCAAATAGTTATGTTTAATATATTTATTTTTAAGTGCTTCCCGTATGGTATAGCAAAAGACAAGCCTTGATTTTCTACTTTGAGCACGGAAAGCTTATTAATTCTAGATGCACTAATTTGATGACTATAAACTAGGATAAGAATATTAGTTAGATTATCTTTATTGCCTGTCTAGCGCAGTCCATATATCTCCGGACTTGTCATTGTTTCTCAGACATAAATCTTACGAATAGATTACTAACATTTTTATTTTCTAATGTGGGTCTAACAGAATCCAAATGTTATACCTGTTCATAAGGACAATCTATTAAGCGTATAATTAGCACTACAAAAGTTACTACTCTCGATCTCACCTTTAATGTTCTTTTTCTCTTGAAGTTTATTGAATTTAAAATAAAAAATTAGTCATATATATATATATATATATATATATACAGGGTGATTCTAAATTGTTTTTACAAATTAAGAGAGGTGATGGTACTCATCCAGATGACCAATAATTACCATAGAACATAAGGTCGCATTCCACTCTGAAAGGCAGGAAAGTGGAATATTAGAGTTCCAACCTGGAGCGAATGAACGAGACCAAAAGTTATATATAGATATTAAGATAGATATATATTGATAGCTTGATAGATAAATATAGATATAGATATAACTAATAGATTTTTATGGTCCCTTTCATTAATTTATGAATTTATTTTGATACTCATCCGACGCAGGGTGAGGCTGCTGTCAATGGGTCAGCTCCTTCGTTGAGCTACGTCCATTATTTTCTAATTATTGACAGTAGGCGCTACCGGTTGGCTGTTATTATAGTACATGAAGCTTGAAAACCGCCATCTTGACTGGGAGAAGATCAACCCTCAAACAAGATTGCTTTACAAGAAAGTAAGATTTATATACGTTTCTTCTAATTTATCATTGTAAAGAAAATATAGATATCAGTAAAGACATTAATAGTGTTTTAGTTAATTAAGACACAATAACACGTCGAACAAATACTAATTCAGAAGTCAACAACAAAAATCAGCGTTATGTTTTCAAATTTTCACAGGGCTAGATTCGATGGTTTTACCGAAACACCATCCTCAGCTGCAAAAGCGCAAATGAACGAGATAGGATATAATGATTAGACAAGATGAGAAAGCCTGGACAGAAAATATGCTAGTGGCGCCATCTGTTTATGAAACCAGAACTAAAACATAATTTCTTTAAAGGCCGAAGGCAAAGATGGATTGGAATTAGGATCGTTAACTAGAACAGAAAGATATTATTTTTGAATGTAAAATGCCGTTAGAAAATCTAGTTCTCCAATGTAAGATGTTTTTTGAATAGTTTTGGCAGCAGAAAACTAACTTTTTTCTAACAAAAGAAAACACAGAAGAAAGGAAACACAGCTTCTGTTGGCGAACATTGTTGGTCCGAAAATCATTATTCAAAAAACATCTTCTTTTGGAGAACTGGATTTTCTAGAACCATTTCACATTCAAAAAAAATCTTTCTGTTCTAGTTAACGATCTAATTCCAATCCATCTTTGCTTTCGTCCTCTAAAGAATTATATTTTAGTTCTGGTTTCAGCAACAGATGGCGCCACTATGGCTTATTTTCTGTCCAGGCTTTCTTATCTTATCTAATCATTATATCCTATCTCGTTCATTTGCGCTTTTGCAGCTGATGATGGAGGTTCGATAAAACCATCGAAACTAGTCCTGTGAAAATTTGGAAATATAACACTGATTTTTGTTGGACTTCTGAATTAGTGTTTTAGTTGTTACTGGTAACATTTTAAACTGTGTTAAATCAGCGTTATTTGGCTATATTAACAATGGCTGTTTACTTTGTTTATAACCGAAATCAAGTACGTATTACATACCTATTGCTGGTTGCATTCAATGATCCAGCCTGAGTTACTATGAATGGGCTGGTGGCCAAAAAATGGAAACCATATCGAGGTTAATATTTTGTAACTTTTTCAAGTTGAAGAATAAAATGCCACTGTACCTGATTTAGAAAAAACCTCTTAGGAGTAATTAAATCTGTAATTAATTAACGATCTCATTTTCTTTGTTGTAAAATTAGAGGCCAAACAAGAAATACACGGGGCGCATGCGGCCTCAAGGCGAAGCGTTCTCCTCCTGTGGTCTAGCCCTCTGACCGGCCAGGGTTTCTCTAAAAAAGCACAAATTTCCCAAAACTTCCATGAGAAAAACTTATTTCCTTGATTTTGGTATAAAGGTTGTCCTGGTATTTTATACCTGGATTTGTTCTATTGCTTTAATGTTTTTGACATATTTTAATATGCACGTATATATACGTTCTTACAGATACCACAAAAAATATTCTAGGCCGTATATATACGGCCTTGCCAGTTAAAGGGCTAGAGTCATTCCTTTGAAGATTCTGGACGTATTTAATAATCAAATTAGCAATATCAAAATATAAGTAAAGTTCTCCATATTTTGTAAAGCCTATGATCTGCATTTGGAAATTAAATTTATTAAGCTTAAAATTAACTGATCTTAACGTTTAAAAATTTTAAAACCGTTTAAAAATAAAAAAAATTAAATACCGTTTAAAAATAAAAGTTTCTCGAAATGCTTGCAATATTTTGGATGTTATAAAAGCTGATGCGCGTCACTCTTTAAGTGTATTACCAAATATCGCACAAATTATTTAGTACTAGCTTGCTGGCTTGCTAAGCATCTGACTCTGAAATTAGGGTAGATTTCTTCAATATCACTAGCAACACCGTTCTTAACTCAGTAGCCTGAATCTTTTCTCATTTATATTATTACCTATTTACTCATAGGACGCTCTGTATATACCGATCTATGCTGTTTTGTAAGATATTTATCAGGAATGATCATGTGTATTGAGATAAGAAATGGTGGTAAAGAGTGAATTTAATGAAAAATAGTCGGCAATTTTAAAGAATAGTTCGTTCATTATTGAAAAACTTCAAAAATGTGCAAAATTAAAATATTTCCTTAAAAATTGAGGTTTTAGAAAATTCAGTATTTAATATCATTGTAAATATTTTTTCAACTTGGACCTACCAAAATTTTAGTTCAGATTTGTATTTAAAATAGTAAATTATTCATCCAGATCTAAAACCCTCCTTTAATTAGATTTCCAGACTGTAGAAATGGATGGAAAACTTAAAAAAATTATTTTACTAAGTGGGATTATTTATAGTGTTTCGTGAATTCATTTTATTTACATTTTTCCGCCTGCGTTAAATAAAAATACTGTTTGCTCAATTAATAAGTGTTAGAACAAAATTGTTCATTTTTATTTAAACGTCAGAGCCATAAAACCTATTCAACTTCTCAAGCTTAATTAAACTCTTGACAAATGAGCTCATTAGTATTGGCGGTATTCCAACCTTGGCTTCGAGACAAAGATTTTTAATACTTCGGTGTATTAAGTAATACCATCACACATTCACAAAACAGCAATAAAGTAAAATATTGGACTAAACCATAAAGATATATTTTTTCCTGTTCTATCTTTTTGGCCTTTCTTTCCCTTTTTTTTCGGTTCCTTTACGCTGAAATAATCTTGCATAACAACTCGCAAGCTTAGGTTTTTGCTTCCACCGTGGTTTTTATGATGTGAGATCTTGAGAGATTACATTTTCTTTTCAGAGACTATATTTTAAGTAAAAAGGAAGAAGTA